CCACCTGCCTAGAATTCAGCTCAAACAAATCTGATCTGTATGTCAGTGTACATTGGTTCCTAAAGTAACAAAATGACAAAGGCAAACTATTTCATGGTTATGGTCTTGAATTTCACAATTTTTGTTTGCCCTTCTTCCTTTATAAATGACATAATTAAATTTAAGATACACTTACCATGCATATAACTCAGACACTTAAGTCTTACTGTCTCCCTCCCCACAAGACTTTCCTTCTACATTTCTTCTTCATTACAGTGTCCTTACTTACCCCTGTTCACTTCCATGCCCACCCTTTGCACCCCTACCCGAGCCGAGGGCCTCACACATGCAAGGCAAGTGCTGTGCCACTATGCTGAGTGTGTCTCCAGTTCTAACAGCCTTTTTATAAATTTCAAAAATTAACTTTTGTGTGTGCAGGTGTGTGAGTGTGTGTGTTGTCACAGTGCATATGTGGAGGTCAGAGGACAACTTTTGGGAGTGGGTTTTCACCTTCCACCTTGAGGAAGGATTTCTCGTTTCTGCCTTCTCAGCTTTCAGAGGATGCTCCTGTCTGCTTCCCATCTCATAGTAGGCATGCTGGAATTACAGATATGTGTCACCGTACCTAGCTTTTCATATGAGTCCTCAGACTAAACTCAGGTTGTCAGGTTGTACAAGGTAAGCACTTTTATCTACTGGCCCATCTTGCCTGTACTTAATCCCTTCTTTAGAGTTCTTGGACAGTCAGATGGTGCAGTGGATAAAAGTTCTTGCTGTTTAAGTGCAAACACTTGAGTGTGATCCTGAGAAGTATATATTATGTACATATTATGCTTACACATTTGAGTAAAAATCACCTACATGGATGTTCACTATAGAACTTGTTTAAGTGTGGTGTGTAGAAATGTCATAACACTATGTAACTATAAAAAAGAATAAGAGATGTTTATGTGTATTGGTTACTTAAAAAAAATAGAAATGGGGTCTTGCTGTATAGCCTAGGTTAGCCTCAAACTCACAATCTTCTTGCCTCAGCTCCTGAGAGTAGGGATTACAGGACTATGCCATCACACTGGCTCACAAGATAATTTGTCAAGTGGTAAAGAAACGGAGCAATGTGCACGATATGTTGACATTAATGTTTTGTTTTTCTAAATCTTTCCTTTCAGAACTATTCAGAATCCAACTTCAGCTCTAGCCAGTGCTGGACAGCAACCTCTTAGAGTCTGATCTGTAAGTCAAGGCACATTGACTCTTAAAGGGATAAAATGATAAAGGACAAACTATTTCACGGTTACGGTCTGATTTACACAATTCTTGTTTTGTTTGTCCAGCTGCAGCTAAAGAGAGAGGAAACCCAGAGCTGTTGTTGTAGTTGTTGTGTTTCCTCTTCCTCCTCCCCTCCTTCTCCTTCTCTTCCTCCTCCTCTTCTTCTTCTTTTTTTTTTTTGGTTGTTGTTTGATTTTTTGAGGCAGCAGCTTGTATAGTCCAGGCTCCAAATCTGCTATATAGCTGAGTCACTTTACAGTAATGTGCCACTCAATTCTGCTTATTCAGTGCTTGGGATCAAACAGGACTTTAAGTGTAAGAGGCAAGAATTCTACCAACTGAGCCAGTATCCCAGCCCTAATATTTTTTAAGAGAATATATTCTATGCTTGTACATGAATTACAAGGCCTTAAGAATAAGAACAAACAAATGCCTTTGGGAGAAGAATAGTGGGACCTGGGGTCTGTCCTGGAAGACATCCTTTTTTGTCATTTTTGTTGTTTTAAGACAAAAATAGCCTACACTGGCCTCGAACTTGTTATGCAGCTAAGGATGACCTTGAATTTCTGATCCTTTTGCCTCCACTTAACACATGCTGAGATCACAGGCATGCACCACTATGCCCAATTGTGAATATGCTATTGTATCTTTTAAATGTAATGCCATATACACATACATACACACAGTTAAATAAATGAAACTTCTGCTAATAAAAAAGACAGCCAATTTTATAAAACTGCATAGTTATGAATTATAATACCTTAAGTATTTATATTTATCATTTCTTTGTGCTGGGAACCTTTGAATTCCAATTTTCCTCTTCTTATAAGAGGAATTCCTATAAACCTTAACCTATTGTGCTGAAAAACATTAGAACTTACTGTTCTTATTTGGGAACCTATTATTCAGTCTCCTTAAATCCCCCAACCTCTTGCTTTTTCTAGTAATATTCTATTTCTACTTATCTGAAATCAGTTTACTTTAGTTTCTACTCCTGGGAATATGCAGCTTTTTTTCATACCTGGCTCATTTCATTTAACATAACGATAACAAACTTCTATGAAGGTTGCTGCTAATGATAGGATGTCATGGGGCGGGGGCTAAATAATGGTGCATGGGTGTGGTTATATAGACTTACTATTATACTTTCTCTATTCAGCGGATACTTCAGGTGATTATACACTGTGTCTGTGTGCTGCAATAAACATGGCAGGGCAGGAATCTCTCTGATACAGTGATGCCATTTCCTTTGGATATAGATATCCAGTAATGGGATAGCTAGCCAAGTGACAGTTCTAATGTTAGTTTTTGTTTTGTTATTAGGATTTTTCATAATGTTTTCTATAATGGGTAAAAAACCATATTAGGAGATAGACTATTTTGATTTGATCATTACACATTTTATATATATGTATGTTAAATTATCACACCTTACTACATAAATACATACAATTAAAAAGAATGTTAAAACTACAAAAGAAAACCTTTAATGATAATTTTCAATCTTTTCTTGTCCATAGGCCCTGCTCCCACCCAGGGAAAAGCTGGAGGAGCTGCTCATTCAGACAATTATACATTAATCATTAGGTGTCATGGCTGTTCTGGTGTCATGCATTAGGTGCAATGGGTGAACGTACAGTCTGTGAAGGAGATGAGCACGCACCCAGATAATCACAATAAAGAGTTACTTCTATCCAATTTCTTTAGCAGCAGCTGAGTACAGACCTAGCATTGCCTTGCAGGTTTCAGTTGAAGGAAAGGATAGGGATACATGACCAAAGCTTAATGTAGGCAGCACTAAGTAAAGGTAAGACTAAAGAATAGTGGGTAGGCTGGCCTCTGGCCAAGTGATGACAATAAAGAGCTATGAGTCAATAAATGATGGAATTAGAATTATACAACATCATTTTGAAGAACTAACAGTATGATGTAATAAAAATAAGACAAGCAAAAAAATTCCTCAGATTGAGTGATTAAGTGAATATTTTATATAGAAATTACTAGTAAACTAAAAATATTGCCATAACCTGGCTTTCCTTTATAAAATTTCCACACTGAGAAGGGGATCTGGGCACAAAGCCTTACCCCTAACCTAGAAGCTATTTGCAACTGAGAGTTACTGAGAGAGGAAAAGTCAGTTTTCTCTAGGTCTATCAACCACACTCCAGGGTAGGGTGGTCAACACAAAACATATACTAGTTTTCTGTTATTGTTGTTGTTGTGTGTGTATGTTTTAAGACAGAGAAAGAACATGAAAGTTGCATGGGTAGGGAGTGGGGAGGATCTGTGAGGAGTTAGGGGAGGGGAAAAATATGATCAAATGATATCATATGAAAAAAATTTAAATAAAATTTAATTAAAAATATTAAGTTCATATTTTAGCAATTACTGAGGATGAGGCAAAATCAGTGGCTTTTGTAATCATGCTAGAAAATGAAGTGGTAAAGCACTTACTATTGTGTAGTCGGTTTCTTCTAGTACTTTATAGTCTTATATGATTCATATTGTATGGTAAGATGTAAGTAGGGTAATGGAATGTGTCACCTCTATGATGTCTTTTCATTTGGACATCTTAAAGCACCTGTGAACATTTACTAATTCTAAATATCATGGCAGATACACCAATGAAGTTAACAGGGCAAGAAACAGTAAAACAGTTAAAAGCCAATTAATAAATCAACAGCAATCTGGAAAAGGACATATATTCCCACTCCTTTTATTTGAACTTTATCCTGAGAGCTTGCTGCCTCTGCCTGCAAGGTTCTGGATTTTATAGGTTTGCACAGTCATGACCAGCCCTGTTCTTACCCTGTAGTTTCTCTTTTCTTAAAAAGTCTCTGTGTTGTTTATCTTTGATGTTAAGTAACATGACAAAATAGGGTTTGATAACAATAATATGAGTTTAAACAATGAATAAATAGAATTGACTTGTTTCAATAAAGATTCTAGTATAATTTGTTAGGATGGATTGAGAAAAAGTATTATTAGTAAATTCTAGAGGCAAGAGAACCTGTAATTGTACATAGTTTCCTCACACTTCTATTTTCCTACATCTATTTTAGTCCATAATCTTCCCTTTTATGCAGCTATTTAATAAAAAATAATATACTTACTGAACACCAGTAAGATAGATAACCAAACCATAACTAGAAATGAAGTACAGTGCCTTAAAAATAATATTTTTATTTGGCAACATAATCTTCTATATATTCCCTGTATATTCTATACAGGGAATTTAATTTATAATAAGCACACAAAGCATCATGGTAACTTATGGTTATGCATAACAAAAATTACTGTGCAAAAAAGCAGATTTAAGTATTCAGAAAAATTTAAACTCTCTTTAGAAATCTAACTCCAACATTTCATTAACAAGTTGCAGAGTGAGTTGGTGCACACCTTTAATTCCAGCACTTGGAAGACAGAGGCAGGTGGATCTCTGTGAGTTTGAGATCAGCCTAGTCTACAAAGCACATTCCAGGACATCCAGAACTACACAGTAAATTCTTGTTTAAAACAACAATCAAAACAACAACAAAAACCAAGCAACAACAATAACAAAAACCAAAACAAACAAAAGAAGCTGCTAATTTCTGACATTATTAGTTTTATTTGAAACAAGAATGATTAATTCCAAGCAGGATTTAGTAAGGTTTGTGAATAAAATAATTTTAAATGATGCACCATTAGTAGCCGCTAAACTTCAATCAGTGAAATCAAAGCTTTTTTTTCCTTCTTCTTAAATGGCTTACCTGCGCATTGGCTTTCCTTCCATGCACCATGAAAAGTATCCTTCACCGTATTCTAAAGCCGTACCTTAAGCAAGAGAAAAGCAGCAACTTACTAAAAACTGTTTCTGATTTCTCCAGCAACTTTCATAATCATTTCACTCATTTCGTTTGTAATCAAGAATCTTGCATCCCGATATGTTTGTGCAGACGCACAATCATAATGGAAGGTAGTGCCTTTAAGATGACCATCATTAACTGAGGATGCTAAGTCGATTAATTATATGGAGGGTGAGGGAAAGTGTGAGAGTGGTCATGATAGCTAGTCGGTTTTGTCTGTGTTCGAAACGCGCTTGGAGTCTCTCTCTCTCTCTCTCTCTCTCTCTCTCTCTCTCTCTCTTTAAACTTTGCCTTCAAGTATATTTGCTGAGCAAACACTAGATACCTACAGCAGTACTAATTTAATGAGTCGGATAGGAACACTGGATCTGAAGGTTAACTTGTTGTGAAGTGACAGGGGGCAGTCCGAGGCATTTGCTTTTAAAAAACAACCCAGTTTCCAACCAGCCCGGACAGCTTGAACAAGGGCAGGGAAAGTACATCGCCAGACTAACACTCTCCCAAGCCATCGTCTTACTTCCCGAAATACTGTCCACCATCAGGATCTCGCTGGCTTCCAAAGGTAAAATGGGAGGCATTAGTGCTCACTCCCTCAGAATCCCAAGTGAAGCTGTTCAGGATGCTGAGCCCTAGCGTCCCCAGACAGCACAGCACAGGCTTTCTCTGGCGGCAAGACACCGGCAAGTAGCGCAGTCTGGCGCCCCGCAAGGCCCGACCCAGGCGCCTCAAATAGTCTCTTTTCTGCACAGACTGACAGGCGACCTACAAAGAGCTCCCCTAACCCCACTGGGCAGTTCTGCAAGTTGAGATCACAGATCTGCGGAGTGAGACCTGGAGCTCTGCTCTCCATCTCCTGCTCTAAGGCTCTGACTTACTGGCTTTGACACTTTTTTCTCTGCGGCACCTTTCGCTGCCTCCTCCGCCCTCTCTGTCTCCACCTCTGGCGCCGCTAGCGCAGGGAGGATGCGGCTCCCGCAGCAATTTCCTTTCTCCGCACCCGCCCCTATCCAGAAGCAGGAAGTGGTCCTGTCCCTAAATCCTTCCCGCCGAACTGTCCATGTTCGGGAAAGTGGTTCCGTTCTGTGTCCGGAAGTAGCTGCGCCGCTCGCTGAGTGTTTTCCAGTACCGGAACCGTTAGTGTGTCCGGATAATTTATTGATGTATTTAAAAACGGAGGTTTCCTCCTTCATCCTCCTTCCTCACCATTCCCTGACATGTTTCATAGCAAAAGCAATAGGAAGATGAAAATAGTTGCCGGAAGCTAGGAATTTTGATTTGCTTGTAGCTGCTGGGTTCCCCACCCCCGCCTTTTTATTTATTTATTTATTTTTGGATACAAATGTCCGTGATTGTGGACTGAATTCTTACCACATGCACACAAGCACTTGACTAGTTTATATCAGGCCCCTACTATGTGCAAGTCTGAGGACGCTATCACAGGTACCTTACCCTCTAGTTTTTCCTCAGCACAGTTTCAAGATATTGGAGTTTAATCCAAGATTCTGATGGCGTCCTTTCTCCTTAATTTAGATGCTTCTTTTGTGAACACACTTTAGTACTAAGAGGAAAAACGCTTTTTGTATTTTGTTCCAAAATTTTCCTCAATAATTGGCCGTCTTATTTTTACAATATATTTAGAAAGCAACCAACAAAATCGGTAGAAAGTGAGGGTTACAATTTTAAGTATATCAGTAAAAGACTGTTGCTGATTTGTTGAAAATTATACTAGACTTAACTAAATTTTTTAACTGATCTTTACATGAAATCCACAGACTCTGCAGTTGTTTCTGAGAGGAAATATACCTTTTATTAATAAACTTGTAGTTGGAGATGATTGGTCTTCAATATAAAAGAAGGATTTATGACCATCATTCATATTTTGCTGATGGCACCAAAGCATTATATAACTTGCAAAAGGGCAAGGGTACCTGCAAAGCACCTTTTTGGAATACACAGCAGGTCGGTTACAGCCTGGATTTACGTTGTCTCCCTTGGCAAAGGTTCAAAGGTTCTTGTTCATCTATATTATTGGTACTTTCAACTTTAATTTTGTTTTGCCAATCTGGTGGCTATCAAATGGTTTAGATGTACATTTCTCTCATCAATTGAAACATCATTTTATATGTGCAGCTCGCAGTAACGTTTCTTTTTGTGTGAATTGCCTAAAAGGCATCTTCAAAGTGACCCTTAGAGTCTCCCAAAATATATAGCTATAAATTTCAATAACGAGGTATAAAAACCACTAAGTAATGCTAGTAACTAAAGATGAAATTTAAGCCTATGGCCAGGGAAAAAAGTAATAGTTTCTATTTTTGACAATCTATGATTCATTCTTCAACCCACTGTAATCTGGCGTATGCTTCTACTTCTCTCTTTTCAAAGGGAGCAGTTCAGTGTGAATCAACTCTTTCTGTTTATGTCAAGACCTATCAAGGGGGCTGGAGAGATGGCTCAGTGGTTAAGAGCATTGCCTGCTCTTCCAAAGGTCCTGAGTTCAATTCCCGGCAACCACATGGTGGCTCATAACCATCTGTAATGAGGTCTGGTGCCGTCTTCTGGCTTGCAGACATACACACAGACAGAATCTTGTATACATAATAAATAAATAAATAAATAAATAAATAAATAAATAAATAAATAGACCTATCAAACTATACCTAGAAATAAGCATAATGAAAACTTGACATTTCCAATTATTATAGAACTCCTACAATCCCACTAGGTCTTCATCTTTGGGGATCACAAATTTCTAGTTGAAAATATACTTAAAAATTGGTTTTACAATATGTGAGACAGAGGTAACAATTAATACTTTAGAGACCAATGAGCTTAACTTTTAGACTTTCAATTAGAAATAATATCTAGTTTGTCATGTATGAACTACATAGACCCCAAAGTTTAGGTGTAAACAAGATCCATGGGACTCTTGTTTTGTCAAATATTAATTCTGGAGGAAATAGACACTGTAATGATAAATAAAAAAGAAAAGTGAAGTGGGTACTTTCTGGAGGGCCCTGCCAAGGTCTGCTACTAAGCAAACATGGCATGTGCAACAGAGTTAATGCAAGAGGTTTATTGGGGGAAGGAGAGAGTGAAGGGCCATGATGGAGTGGTGACATGAGAGAGGAGGCAGGCAAGCAGTCAGACAGACAGACAGACAGAGAGACAGAGAATAGGGAAAGGGAGCAAGAGACATGAAAGGCAAGAGAGGAAAGAAGAAGCAAGAGAAAAAAAGAGGAGGCAAAGAGAGGAAAGAGGAGGTAAAGAGATGAGAAAGAGGCAACACCCTTTGTGTTGCCCATTCGCCTTTGGTCACTAGTGAATGTGGTATCAAAAAAGGCATAAATTAATGCTTTGTAGCCTTTTCTTACCCTGGAGTTTGGTACCTTGGGTGTAGGAGCTGCATAAGTAACAGAAAATCAACCCTAGCTTGTGTGTGTGGGGGTGAATGTACTGCCCAATTCTGGGAGTGTGGTTTCTTTTAACTGGTTCTTACTCGTTTGGCAGGTGGGTGTCTGAAGCTGACCAACACCTCCAGAGTGACACGGAGGAGCTAACAGGTGGCTTAGGGGTGTCCTTAAAGATTTGGAAATTTGGTCTTTAGAAACATGGATGACTTACAGTTTTTAAGAGGTGTGTCAGGACACTGGATAGATGAATGGACACTTTGTAACAAGGCTATGAATAAATATTTAATAAACTGCTTTGAAAAAAGGAGGCAAGAAAAACAAGAGACAAGAGAGGAAAGAAGAGGCAAAGAGAGAGCTGTACTTGGCAGGCACTTTTAAGGGTTGTACATTTCACACAGCTGACGATGGAAAGGCACCTGGCAACAGGTGATGATGATGTAACTACTTTGGCAGTGGCGGGAACTGACAGACATTATAAAATTAAACCACAAATTACATGTTTGTTTAGTTACAATAGTGGTATAACCAAAAATGACATACAGGATGCTAAGAAAATAACTAACAGGGAGCCCAAATCTGGTCTCAATGATAGAGGAAGTATGGTTAGCAGCACTTAAGATACCCTTCAGCATTCTTTGACCTCAGCAATTGATACCTTAGTCATCTCCTTTTCTGCTATTGTGATGTATTAAAATATATTAAGAGGGTGGGCTGTGTTTTTCCAAGATGAGATGCAATGTTGTTTGACCACTCCAGCCAAGCATGAATGAGCTCATCAAACTTCTTTATAAATCACCTGGGCATAGATATTTTGTCATAACAACACAGAGAGCCCTATTATGGGGAAACAGAAGACCTGGGTCCTGGTGCTAACCTCATGATCTCAAGCAAACCTTTTATCATAACTTCAGTTTTCTTACTTATATGATGTTTCACTCCTTATAATGTTCTGATAGAGGGTTATTTTTAGAGTTTGAGGATATAACTTAGTTTTTAAAGGGCTCATCTTGCGTTCAACACCCCCAGCAAAGTCCTATCGGAAGTTCTGAGGTTGCACTGTGTAACAAAACTTTTCCTGGTGGGATGCAACACACATGTCTACTCACCGTAGACAGGGAGCCCATTACAGACCATAGTACGATATCACCAAAGTCCAACTTGGTGAACCAATGAGTTTTATTGAAGTTACTTACAGCATGTGAGTAAGGGGTTACTTACAGGAGCAAAAATGACTCAAAGACAACTGCATCACCAAGATCTACTCCAGCATGGGTGACATCTTACAGAGCTGAGGACTTGGAATCAGAGCCTGTGGGCAGCTCAACAGGATGGAGGGTGTCCTTTCCAGGTGTCTCAGTTGGTCTAAATCTCTTCAAGGCAGCTGATCTGGTTTGAAAGACTTTTTTTGTAACTTTTCTCCTCTGAGAGTCTTCTTTGTAACTTAGCTTGTCTAAATCTTCCTGGCAGCTGAGTTTATTCAAGAGTCTTCTTTGCAGATCAGCTTTCTTCTGTCTTTTTTTTTTCCCTTCTTAAGGCAGGGAGGGGACTAGTGAATCTGGTCAGCTTCGGGGACTTCCTGAAGCTATTTTTTGGTTGTTTACTTTCCTGCTTAAGGAGCTTCCCTATAGGATGGGATGTTCCAATCTCTCAGGAAACTATTTCCCAACAGGTTACAATAAAACTTTAGTGGTCTCAAATTGGCATGACTAAGTTGGGTCATTATACCCTACAAAAGTCAAATGTGTTTAGAATATAAATAATGGAAATATACAAGTAGGGCAAGAAAATATGGATGCATTTCTTGAGTGGAAAAATATCTCTTTGACTGAAGAGATTGGTATTAGCTCAGACATTCCAAGACCAAGTTTTCAGCACAAAGGAAATTTATTTGCCCCAGAGAGCCAGAGGACAGGGAATAAGACAAAGACAGGAGTTAGATGATGAGGGAAGAGGGGAAGGGAACAAGGGAGAGGGAGAGAAAAGGACTGCTTCTGGATAGAGAGAGACACAGGCATGGCCTATAGAAACACGGTTAATAAAGGTAAAAGGGGAACCCCCCAGCCCGTATTAGGATGAGGTGTTTAATTTTAATTAAATGTGTTATTAGGTGATCCAAAGAGGGCTTTTGATGGCTGGACTTCAATACTTTGAGAGTTAGACCTTGGTAGTCAGCCCCAGGAGGAGGAAATGGCCAAATAAGGATATAAACCTTGCCGGCTGATTTTAGAAATGCAAATGGTTTAGCAAGGCAGAGGGAATTGGGGAGAAGGGTGAGGCCTGCCAGGGCCATGTTTGTCATGCTCAAGCTGCTAGAATCCTTTCATTGACCACAGCTGAATGTTTTTTAAGGGTTAAATAGCAGGGAGATGGGTCAGTGGGTAAAGTGCTCGTGGTACAGCATGGAGATCTAAGTTACTGGAATGGATACTTATTCTGGGTATGAATTTACCTTTCCTGGATGCAATGCTGCTGCCAAACCTCACTGTCTATCATTGTATTCCTCCTGGAATCACTTCTTCCCACAGAACTCATTTCACAAAGAAGTGGAGCAGTGCACTCAGAACGAATATTCTTCCCTTGTACCCACCACCCTGAAGAACTGACTTGATAGAATGATAGAATGGCCTTTCAAAAACAGTCACACGACAACTACATGTCCATAGCCTGGAGAGTGGGATGGGGTGAGGGTGCAGTATTCTCTAGAAGGCTGGGTATACGCCAATTCAACATCTAATATATGGTACTGTTTCTCCTATAGTCGGGATTCATGGGTTCAAGAATCAAGGTCTGGAAATGCCAATGACACTGGAGTCTGCATTAGTCAGGATTCTTTAGAGGCACAAGAGTAATAAAATGAATATATATTATAAAGTAGGAAGCAGTTACAGACTTGGTATAATGACCAAGTCAGATGTATGGGCAGAAACTCAAAAGTAAGAAAGGACTGTCCTACCAGCTTTATGTCTACAGTATAAATCATCCTAACATGAATCTCCCAGTTCAAGAAGATTTATAGTTTCAGTGGACCTTGCTTCTTCCTCATGCATCAAAAAAGAATCCTCAGCCTGCCTGGACAACCAGGTTATCCTTTTCCAAATTCTGCCAACAGATGGGAGGGAGACCTTCTTCAAAAGCTAGACCTTGTCCCCACAGCGGCTGAAAACACTGCTGTGCAGGGCCTCCGGAAAACAGGTGGGTTTGAACTCTGCTTGCAAACAAAGCCACTGGACTTCCTACTAAGTTCTACTGGGAACTGATCTTGTTAGCTCCTAGCTCTCATGTCTGATTTTCATTTATATCAGAGAGGCCAAATCAGAGGGTTAGCAAAAAGAGGGGCCGTCCACGGAAGCACATTGATTATGGCTTCACTATCGATAGTGTCCAAACTGCCCAGGAAGCCCTTGACATCAAGCACTTGCAGAGCGTTAAGAACCAAAGGGTCTTGTATATGGTATATGCAAGTGCTCACCTGTGCACGACAGCAGTTAGGGAGCCTGTGCACATCCAGGTGTGTTTAAAGTGACATACACATTGTGTGAGCAGGCTGTGTATCTTCTTCAGAACTGGCTTTGGTTACACTTTCAAAAGATTCACAATTCCTAAATTTTCCACTTTGGGTGAAATTTTTTTTTTGTTTTTTGTTTTTGTTGTTGTTTTTTCGAGACAGGGTTTCTTTGTAGCTTTGGTACCTGTCCAGTAATTCATTCTGTAGACCAGGTTGGCCTCAAACTCACAGAGATCCTCCTGCCTCTCTCTCCCAAGTGCTGGGATTAAAGGTGTGCGCCAGCACCGCCCAGCTCACTTTGGGAGAATTTTTAAATGTGAAGATTTTTAAGGGAAATTAGGCTTTTGTCTGATTTTTTAAAACTTAGATTATTCCCAAGTCAGGGGACCAGAGTATATTATTGTCCTGGCCACGTCAGCCTCTCTTAGGTTGTCTGTTGGAATTCCAGACATGAACAGAGCAGGCCCGTTCCCAGGTACTCCAAAAAGGCAGGAAGTCAAGGCAGCACGTTAATTGGCTGAACACCTAAATCCTTCATGTTGTGTGTCTCTGATAACTCCAGGTAGAAGGAATCACATATCTAGTGACTCTCAAAGCAGACCCTCAAACAAGAAGAATCTCCTATCAAGTGTACATAGATCTTCTGGGTGAGTCTCTCGCTTGCTAGCATCAGATTGACCAACAACATTTTCTTCAGTTGAATTTGTGGCTAGGGCACCTGTTCTACTGCCAGCATGTCCAGATTCCATGCCTAAGCCTAGAGGACTCTCAGGTGCCTGCATCCTCCTACAGCTACAGAAGCGCAGTGGTGGTGAATGTTCAGTTTGTTTCTGGGTATTGTGCTGTGTGCTCCTGGGCTCCTGACTCATCTGGAAATGGTCTCAGTGCCTCATTCGGTTGTCTGGCCTTCTTTGCTCACTAGTTGTCAGTCTTGTTTCTAATTTATTAAATAATTCTAGATATACTGGGGCCACCTATCAAATAGGCAAGCATTGGAATTGGGCAATTTGCTTTGCTGACATAACTGAGGGGAAGTGTTCATGTATGCTGGTGTGTGTGTGTGCGTGTGTGTGTGTGTGTGTGTGTGTGTGTGTGTGTGTGTGTGTGAAAGAGAGAGAGAGAGAGAGAGAGAGAGAGAGAGAGAAAATGGTAACATTTCTATGGAGAGAGATTTGGCAACTTCTAGCAAAATTACATTTGTGTCTCTTTTTGACCTCATAATTCTGCTACCCCAAGGAAATAGTTGCAGAAAGAAAAGAAAAAGTAAATGTGAGAAGACAGTGAGAATGAAGGGTTGAGCACAAGGCTAGTCACTGTAGGACTCTTAGTGATAGCAAAAATGGCAAACAAATGAGAAGCCTCTCAGGAGGGGACTGATTAAACAAACCGTGGGATGCCCATAGGATGGGGACTGTGCCCTGTAACATAAGGAAAGGAAAGATCTATTAATACTCTTTGGGTGTTTAGTGAAAACAATCACTTCCATGCTCGATTCATCTCAT